CTCTGGTTTGGGGAGTTGCAGCCTTTGCTGACCCTGGGCCCCCTGCCCACCCCCAGGGGCCCAGAGGTTACGTACGTAAGACCCGGACGCCATGCCGCAGGGCCTGGACCCTGCCGGGCTCGATGGACATGCTGAACGTGCCCTGCTGGTCCCCGACCGTGCACACCTGGCCCTGCTCGGCCGCCTGGCGGACCATGACTGTCAGCTTGTTGGCAATGACAGTGTTCAGGACTGAGATGACCACCATGGGGAGCAGGAAGGACATGAAGGTGTTGACCTGCGGAGAGGAAGGGGGACGTCAGACCCGGCAGCAGGAGACATCACCCGCCCGCCTGCCCCTGGGCGCCTGCCACCCCAGCTGGGGTTCAGGGCCTGGACTGCGGGGCCCCAGGGCGGCACAAGCTCAGAGGGGCGTGTCCCGTCCCGGCTGCCCCAGATCAGGCCGTCCCCGGCCGCCCATCTCCAAGCCCGGCAGCAGTGTGCCCCCACCCAGCTTGGAAGAGGTTTGCAGCGTCTCTGATACCTGGGTGAGCCCCTGCGTGGGGTCCCGCCTGGAACAGCAGGGGACACAGACTCTGGGGTGTGCGGGCTGTGGCAGAGAGCAAAGCTCTGCGTTCTCAGGTGTGGACATGCCGCGTCCATGACAGCTGCCCTGAGTGTGGCTGTTTCACCTGGGCCGTCCTCACGGCCCACCCAGGGCCTCCCAGCCTGTACACAGACAGTACACGCGGACCTTTCTTCCGCCCACCCCTGCCTCTCAGAGAATTGAAAAGAGTGTGGCCCCTTTTGTTAGCACCTGGGGCCCTGCCTCTAATTTCCACCCAGACCTGCAAGGCTGGGCCATCATGTCCGCCCTGCATCTGGGGAAACTGAGTCTCAGGGTGGCTGCAGGTCTGGCCCAAAGATGCCGGCTCAGAAGTGGCTGGACCTGGATTTGAACCTGGCCTGTATGAACCCAGGCCCCGCTCCCACGGGGACGCCAGGCCGTGGCTTTGCCTCCGCAGGCGCCCAGCAGGTGGCAGGGCCTTTCCTAGCTGACCCTGCTGCCCAGGACAGGGATGGCACATGTCAGAGGATGCGGTCCAATGGGAGCGAGTGGGGCTGCAGGGGCCTCCGGGGCTGAAGCCAGCACCCCTGATGGCAGAGGCTGCCTCCCGCCCTGTGAGGCTCGGACCCCAAGAGGCTCCTGGTGGTGTCGGGAAACGGTCACTGCCCCTGGGCTCCTGGGCTCTGCCACCAGGGTGGCGCAGGGTGCTCCGAGCAGAGCCTGTGTCCTGCAGCGGGCACTTGTCACCATGGTCCTGGTGAGGACAGTCAGCCAAACCCTGCCAAGGGGGCACTCGCCAGACATGGGACAACCACCAAGAGGTGCTGGAAGTTGCCGGAACGTCAGCTGGTCCACTCCCTGGGCCTGTTCTGGGCACTGGCCGAGGTCCCTCCAGAGACCCCACCCTCCCACGGCAGCTCCAAGCTCCGCTGAGGCCTGGGAGGCCTCTAGGGGGAGGCGGCTGAGTTTACTCCCAGTTCCCCCTGAGCAAAGTTCTGCGGACAGACTGAGGGGCCCCGCACTTCTGCGCTCGCCAGCCCGGCGCCCAGGACTCCTGCTGCCTCCGCCACTGGCCCCAGGTGGGTGGCAGGTCCGTCCTTTCCTCCCGGACGGGGGTCTGGAGCCTGGCGCCCATCCCACCCCCCTGGTTTTCTGTTGCTTTTTCGTTTGAAGCCCACCCTCCGCCGGACGGCAGGGGCTGGCGAGGCCCGAGGGGCAGGTGAGAGGGCCCCGCGGCCGCCTGGGTTGCTGGGGGGCGCCGGGTGGCATGGCCCAGTCTCAGAAGACAAACCAATTCCCCATGAGTCACTGCAGCCCGGGTATGATTTAAACAGAACACGTGTATCAAACACAGATTGTAAATGTCAAAACATTTAAAATACCTCGCTGAGCCCGGACAGCAAAAATAGCTACGTCTGGGGGCCAGTGGGGGCCGGAGGCCGGCGGGGCATAGGGTCTGGCCCCGGCAGCTGTCCCTGCTGGAGCCCCCTTGGTCCTGGGGTTCCTGGATGGAGTGGGAGCAGGCCCCTGCCCTGCGGCCCCCCTGACCAGAAGCCGCCGCTGGGCCATGAGAACAGGGGGCAGAGGTGCGGGACCAGCGCCACCTTGCAGAGTGAGGGCCGCCTTCCCTGGGCTCCCGGACCTGTCTGTCCTGGAGACCAAGGCAGATCAGGAGGTGGGGTGCGGGGTGCACACCCGACTCTTGGAATGTGGCTTCTCCTGCCCAGGCTCACCGCACCCCTGTCCTGTGCTGCACCCCCACTTCCCCACGACGAGCAAAGGGGAAGGCACGCCATGAGCATCCGCGAGCTCCCCAGGAAAGGGGCTGCGTCCCACGGGAGGTGGGAGCAGGCTTGGCCATGGGGAAGGACGGGCCCCTCCCTGGACAGGACTGGCTCACATCCTGTGTGTTCCTGTACGTCCAGTCCCTGCAAAGCACACAGCTAATTGCTCGGACATGCTGACTCTACAACTTAAATGGAAAAAATAATCTAATAATAGCTAGGAAGGTTCCGGACAGGAGACGTGACGGACCACGCATCGGCCTCCCCAGCCACTGGAACGCACTGACGGGAGCTTTACTGAGAACAGTCTGGCCAGACGGATGGATGGACGGAGAGGATGCCCGGTCAGACGAGACCCCATCTGCGATGGGACGGCATCTGGGTCAGCGGGAGGCAGGCCGTCTAGGAGCGTCTCTGGACTGCTGGGGGGCTGGACGGGAAGCTGGACCTCTGGCTGGCGTGGGCACCGACACCCTCGAGTGGCAGGCCCTGCTGGGCCCCCTGTCCTGGGGCTGGCTGGGTACCTGGCACCCCTGGGCTCTGGGCCCCCAAGGCCGGGTCTGTGAGTTGGGTTGGTGGGACCTCCCGGAGCAGAGGGCCTGGAGGAGGACAGCGATGTCAGGACATGGCAGCTCCCATGGGCACCCGTGCCCCTGCAGTGTCCCCTGCTTCCTGTGCCACCCTGGCTGCCAGACCCCGCTCTTGGCCCCGGCCACTGGGGGGGCTCTAGCATGAGCTGGAAATCGCTGGGAAGCAGCCTGGGGCTGGTGTGTGGACCTGGAGCCCGGCTTGCCCCACGGCTGGCAGTGACCTCGGGCAGCTCCACGGGGGCCCACGCCTCAGCGTTGTTTCTAAAAGAGGGGCCCTGAGGGTGCCCACCGTGGTGCCCAGAGCGCGGTGGCACTCACATGCACGCAGGGCTAGTGTTTTGGGTGGTGGGCAAAGGGGGCGAGGTGGGTGGGTGCGGGGCTCCGGCCTGGAGGCTGGGGGTGGCCTGTGGGAGGGGCGTTTGAAACTTTGTGTGGGCCAAGGAGGTGGCGTGGAGCGTTGGATGATACAACAAGAGTGAACGAGGTGTGTTTAGGGGCAGCCGCAGTGGGGCGCGGCCTGCACACAGCTGGGGCGCACCTGGCCGGCAGGGGCACCTGACACAGCTGCAGACAGCGGCCTGGGCCCCTCCTCCCTGGGCAGGGTGCTCTCACCCCTGTTCCAGCTTCCTCTGAGGAATGAGGCTTGTTTGTGTGGGGCCTTTTTCTCTCTAATTAATCCCATTGTATTCAGAGAAAGACGGAGCCACACGCGCGGCTCCACGGCTCAGCAAGCCGCCTGCGGTGCGTGGGAAGGTACAAAATATTGCTCAGGATGTTTGCAAGCCCAGGGGCTTTGTGAGACAGCTACTGAGGGGGAGGTGGAGAAGGGGCTCCTGCCCAAACCCTCCCGATGTGTGGCCACTGCTGTGCCCAGGACTACCGCGCCCCCAAGGCAGAGGAGCAGCCCCCCGGGCCCAGGCCAGGGCCACCCCTCTAACTTCCTGGACTGACTCCAGACCAGACGGAGGAGCCCCAGACCCAGCTGGACACCAGAGCACACTCCGCGGGCTCTCTCGACCCCGTCCTGCCTCCACCCCTGCCACGGCCAGAACGATGATGTCATTAACCCCAGAAGCGCTGCGCGGCAGGGTCCCAACATGGCCTCGTGTGAAATAGCAAAACTTCCAGGACAACTCAAGTGCCCCCACTCAGGCAGGTTGGCGAGTCACGCCTGCTCCACGTGGCCGCGCAGACGCTCCGACGGCGTGCCCGGCACGGCTCTGGGAAGGAGCCCCAGACTGACTCGGGGCGGGGGTAGCTAGAGGTTCTCCCAGCCTGTCCTCTTGGGGTTAGAGCTCCATAAATGAGCTGCCTGTACAAAAATAAAATTGAAATGAGTAGATGCATTTGGTTTGCCTCTCCTGCGGATGCGTCCTGTGACGGGTACCACCAAGGCCACCTCGCTGTCCTGGAACCAGTGAAGAGCTGTGGGCAAACTGTGCTGTCCCCCAGTCCCTTGTCTGCGCCTGGGTGCCCTCCCCAGGCACCTAAGGAGCAGGTTGCAGCGACTCAGCTTGGCTCTAGATGCCGCCGGGATCTGGAAACCAGAGCTGTGCGACTCTGCCCAGCTGGGACGCACGACCCACCGTGCGCAAGAGCCTGGACACAAGACACAACACCGAGTGTCACGTTGCTGTGTGGTCAGTAGTGACCGCAGACCTGGCCCGAGCAGAGGCCCCTGCACCTCTTCTCAGAACCGCCCACGTTTCCGGGCCTCGTGTGGAGGAGCAGGGGGAGGACAGGGCACTCGACCTGCAGGGCCATGGGGCCATCTTGGTGTCTGCGAATCCACGACAGGGAGGGATGAGGCGGGCAGCAGTGTCCGGCGAGTCCTTGGCTGCCACTAAGCAGTCACGCCACCACCAGACAGCTCTAATATGCAGATTTGGGCTTTATATAAAAATTAATACTTTGAATCCCTCTAACTGCCACTGTCTCACTGACATGGCGCCCTTAGCAACTGTTCCTGGTCCCTCACGGGAGCTCAGCACTCTGCGTGCACCTCAGCGACACTTGCGTCCGGTCTGTGAGACGAAACCACCGTTATCCTCACGCTACAGGAGAAACCCAGGCCAAGCTACGAGTCCTGGGGTCTGACCCCGCAGCCCGAGTGCTCGCGGCCCACACCCTGGGCCGTCTACGCACAGAGGACAGATGGGTGGACCAGCAGCTGCTGAGCGAGGACCGCGAGCTGGGCGAGGGTGTGGAGCCCTGGTCCTCGCCGGCTGGTGGAGCTTGGCGGTGACTCACCCCCGCCTCCCAGAGGGGACACTTTCTTGTGGGTCACTGCCAATTTTTGCGAGCATATAAAGCCCACGTTCCCCGGTGAGCTCTCGGGGACTGAGCCTCCGCTCAG